AAAGAGGGGAAAGGCCGGGAGGCAGGAAAGGGAGGTTGACGCAGGCAGGCGAAACCGCAGATACTAATTTACCTCCCAGCGTGAGCCAGGCCCGCAACGATTTCCTGTGGGTTTTTTTTTCCCAACCCCTATTCACCTTTTAATGCCATCCTATTAAGTCAATAGCAACCTCAGGAATGCTGCAAAACGGCTTGCTGAGTCAGAAGCCGACCAGAAGAGGAAGAGGAAGAAGAAGAAGGCAGAGAAGGAGACGCCGTATGCGAGTTTAGAAATTCGCACGTGGGGCCAGTTTCTGGCCGACGGGAGCCAGGCCAGCGTATGGAAGCTACCTAGAGGATAATAATTTACTTCCTCCCATGACACACACACACAGATGGCTTCCAGATAACTGTAACCGTGCCAGACAACCCTTCACACATTTCAGGTCCTTTCTGGATAACCTCTGCTCCATTTTAACAGGCACACAATGCTCCGACTAACGCTAGCACGTGAGCATCACAGTGCTGTCTTGGTGTGTGACTTTACCCTGTATATTTTTGGTTTTGCCACTTTTTGAATCCAACCACCTTTTCCTTTTTCTCCACTCTTTGTTATATTAAACGTTTTTCTAAAGACTTTTTGGCTTTGTTTAGTACAATCGATTTCTCTGGGACACTTCTCTTAATCTCCTACCCAAGTGCTAGATCACATGACTGCTACACAGTTTAGACCCTAAGAAGAGCTCCACTGGATCTGACTAGTGGTCCATCTAGTCCAGCATCTTGTCTCACACAGTGGCCAATCAGTTCCTTTGGATGGACAACAACAGGGCAGAGAGTATAGCAGTTGAGGCCTTCGTAAAAATATCAGAAGAGCCCTGCTGGATCAGACCAGTGGTCCATCTAGTCCGGCATCCTGTCCCACACAGCGGCCAGCCAGTTCCTTTGGATGGACAACAACAGGGCAGAGAGGCCAAGGCCTTCATAAGAACATCAGAAGAGCCCTGGTGGATCAGACCAGTGGTCCATCTAGTCCAACATCCTGCCTCACACAGTGGCCATCCAGTTCCTCTGGAGGTCCAACAACAAGGCAGAGAGGCCAAGGCCTTCTTCATAAGAACATCAGAAGAGCCCTGGTGGATCTGACTAGTGGTCCATCTAGTCCAGCATCTTGTCTCACACAGTGGCCAATCAGTTCCTTTGGATGGACAACAACAGGGCAGAGAGTATAGCAGTTGAGGCCTTCGTAAAAATATCAGAAGAGCCCTGCTGGATCAGACCAGTGGTCCATCTAGTCCGGCATCCTGTCCCACACAGCGGCCAGCCAGTTCCTTTGGATGGACAACAACAGGGCAGAGAGTATAGCAGTTGAGGCCTTCGTAAAAATATCAGAAGAGCCCTGCTGGATCAGACCAGTGGTCCATCTAGTCCGGCATCCTGTCCCACACAGCGGCCAGCCAGTTCCTTTGGAAGGGCAGAGAGGCCGAGGCCTTTGTAAGAACGTCAGGAGAGCCCTGCTGGATTAGACCAGTGAGGGTCCATCCAGTCCAGCATCCTGTCCCACACAGTGGCCAACCAGTTCCTCTGGAGGGTCAACAACAGGGTAGAGAGGCCAAGGCCTTTGAAAGAACATCAGGAGAGCCCTGGTGGATCTGACCAGTGGTCCATCTAGTCCAGCATCCTGTCCCACACAGTGGCCAACCAGTTCCTCTGGAGATCCAACAACAGGACACAGAGGCTGAGGCCTTCATAAGAGCATCAGAAGAGCCCTGGTTGATCAGACCAGTGGTCCATCTAGTCCAGCATCCTGTCTCACACAGTGGCCATCCAGTTCCTCTGGAGAAAAGTGGGGTGTAATAACCAACTCTTCTCCTCCTCCTCCTCTGTGTAAAGGAGTAATTCCTTTTGTCCATCCAGAATCTACTGCCCACCAGCCTCTCTGTGAGAGGGTGCCTAAGAGCTCTGAGAGAGAACAGAGCTGCCGTATCCCTCTCTCTGTGTGGATGGCCCTCTCATAAGCTGAGGAGCCATGGCTCAGCGGCAGAGCATCTATGTGGCATGCAGAATGTCCCCGGTTCAATCCCTACCATCTGCAGTTAGGAGGAACTGTGGCTCACTGGTAGAGCACCTGCTTGGCATGTAGAAGGTCCCAGGTTCAACCCCTGCCATCTCCAGTTAAAAAGGACCAGGTAGGAGGTGATGGGAAAGAGCCATTTTGGTGTCGTGGTTAAGTGCGCGGACTCTGATCTGGGAGAACCAGGTTTGATTCCCCCACTCCTCCACTTGCACCTGCTGGATGACCTTGGGCCAGCCATAGTTCTGACAAGAGCTGTTCTTGAAATAGAGCCGTTTTTGTCAGAGCTCTCAGCCCCACCCACCTCACAGGGTGTCTGTTGTGGGGAGGGGAAGGGAAAGGAGTTTGTAAGCCACTCTGAGACACCTTTGGGTAGTGAAGGGCAGGGTATAAATCCAATCTCTTCTTCTTCTTCTTCTTCTACCTCACAGGGTGTCTGGTGTGGGGAGGGGAAGGAGTCTATAAGCTGCTCTGAGACTCCTTTGGGTAGTG